GCTTGCAAATCTGGAGCGTGTCCCGAGATGCCTCCGCCTGCACGACCTGCTTCTGTTCCAGAACCTCCGTTGGCACCCGAGGCGACATGCTGTGGTGCACTGGTCGAGAATGGTCTCATGTTCCCAGAAGCCCCCGACTCAACTCCGATCGGCCTGAAGGCGACTTGGGAAACTTCCGGCCCAGCCCTCGTTGAGTCGGGAAGCCGGAGCCGATGCACTGCGGCAGTCAGAGTAATCAGAGTTTGCGTCACACTTCATCTGATGAGTCGACTCTTCCTGAAAAGCCAGTTCGAACTTCACTGTCTTAGTCTAAGGCAGCTCCGGGGAGGCGGTCGACGCTGAGAGTGCCCTGGGCGGCAAGTCCTTAAGTCGGTGATGAGACCTCAGCACTCAGTGTCTTCGCACTCCAGGTGCGACGGAAGCCGTCCCGAGCAGGTGGCCACAGCATGATGACAGGCGGCTTTTGCTGATTTTGTCAGTCGTTTCCGATGGTGGCACTTAAGCACATGTCTGCACTTTCTGGCCAGAGCTGACATTTCGGTCGGGCCACGCCCGGCAGGCCGCTGCCAGACGACGAAGGCCGCGTACAACTTGGAGAATGTTAGGACCAGTGACACGCACTGAGCAGTCGGAAGCTGCAGTCACATGCAGCTAGTGCGTCGGAGCCCAGATGGTAGTACTGTGGGATGTGGGAGTTATTGTCGAGAGCCAACCATTGACCATTCCGAACCCTTGCGAGGGGCGGCTCCGACCCAGCGTGGCACTAGGCTGGCCCACATCCCTCCGTGCTCCTGAATGCAACATCTGCTGGCCACATCCTGGCAAGGGCGCGATGGCAATCGAAGACTGCAGCAACCAAGCTGCGCAAGGCCGTGTTCTTCAGCCAATAATGAACGATGGGGGCAGCGTTTCAGAACTCGGAGTCGGAGTGGGTTTGGAGCTGGGCCGAGTCGGGCCGACGACGGAAGTTGAAGCAACGCTTGCTTAGGATCGGGCCGAGGTCGTAGGCCGAAGAGATCCGTTTTCCTGGAGTCCCTCGGAAGGTCGAGAAAGCTTTCAAGCAGTTGAAGTCCGAGGCCACCCTGTGACGAATTGTTTTGTTATTCTGCTCTGGCTCTGTATCGAACCCTCGAAGTCGGCGGCTCTCTGCACCTTTAAGACTGCGAGGTCACTCGGCTGCGTCGAACCGTGCGGAAGCGATCTCTGTCAGATGAAGGCGCGATAAGTCCGACATGTGACGTATCCCTTTGTCTGGCCGTTTTAAATTTGAGTCTTCGGAAATGCGCCAACTCAAAACCGAGCTTTCAGCGGGAAGTCGACGTAAAGAAAGCGACAATGTACTAGAGAATGTTGTCGTAGCACACTTCCACCCACTTGCAAGGCAGCCCGATACAACCCAATCCATTTCATAGACTCAAGGATGCAATCCCCTCCCCGTCTTGATGGTGGCCTTGAGGTTTGCTTTTGCCGTCTGAAGTGCCGGCTCTCTCCGAAGAGGCCGTTCCAAGCGCTCTGTAGCGGATTGGGGCCCTTTTGCTGCTCCCTCCGAGGCTCCGCTTCGGCCAGCGAGGCGGCGGAGAGAGCCGGGGGGGTTTTGGTCCGACATCGCAGCATGTCGAAGGGGCCTTCGATCTTGCACCGCCAGTCCTCTGCTAGAAAAAGCGCAAGAGTGCTTCAGAGTGTTGAGGCTTCCAGCTCCGAGCTTGCCCGCCGCGCCGGAACCTTCGGAGTGCATGGCAGGATCCGAGGCCGGATGGATTCTTGAAGCTTTCGCCAGCCATTGGTTTTGATGGTGCCTCTTTGACGGCACCGCCTAAAACCACCGAGTGACTTCGAAAAAGTAGGCGGGGCAGTTTCGATCGGATACTCCTGTTTGCATGGAGGGTCTGGGCCGGCTTAGGAGAGCCCTGTGCAGGCGCCCATTCGCCAGAAGAAGAAGGAGCTTGAGGAAGGGTCTTTCTCGCCCAGATCCAGGCACCCATCTGACCATCCGATCCAGACTGAGACCAAGCTGAAAGATGTGCTTCTGGTGGAAGTCCAACTTTCAGTGCATTCCTAAGAACCTGGGTCCTTGCCCCAGGTCAGTGCAAAGCGCCAGTGGAACCTCCGAGCAGCCGGCGCCCCTCGAGGACGTCAGGACTCCTTTTCGAGAAACCTTGGGGAGGCGATGTCCGAACCTGGCAGGGCAGCCTTGTGAAGTTGAATGCCAATGCTTCTGACGCAGGTCTCTCTTTCGCTCAGAGCATTCTCGTCTTGGGCAGTCCTATTGGCCTGTTTCTGCAGAGGCGTCACCAGAAGGTCTTGGCTCGAAGTAGCCCAGCCTCTCTGAGACCTTAGCCTGCCCTCGCCATGGCCGAAGTGAAGCCTTTGATCCCGGTGATTAGCCGGGATGTGCCTAAGCCAAAAACCAGCCTTCTTAGCCGGCTTTATGTGGGCCAGCGGTAGATGCGTAGATGTTGTCTCGCTACCCCAACGTGCAGCGTATTCCCTCGCTGCCATCAACCCCTGTCGGTGTTCGCAATGCAGTTCCAGGTGGAGAGGGCGCTGGGCGAGGATCCGTACATGGGCAAGCTCCGAAAGACGGTGCAGCAACTGTTTGGTGCCGAGACTTGGGCGACGATTTTGTGAACAAGCCGTTTCCAAATAGCAGATTCCAATGAAGGGTGCTTCGTGTGCAGAATGTCGCTGTCCTGTCGCACCAGCTGTGGGCCATCAACTGCACCTAGGAGAGCAATCCGAAGTTTGCGGAGCACGCCGAGCATGCCTTCCGCGGAGCTTTTGCACTAGCCTCGCGACCGCGATCTCGATGCTAGATTCTAGTCGGTCCGAGTTGGGTCAACAACTAACAAACAGCCTTTGTCCCTGTTGATAATGGCCATTTCTATTGTATTAGAGCGGCAAATGCTTGGTCCTCCTGGCGCCATTGGTCTGTTGAAGCTTGAGAGCAAGCAGGAAGGCACAGCATGCAAAAGTGCTCGAGCTACATGGCATGTGGAGCCTGCAAACGGCAACGTTTTGCTGCATGTCAAGCCTCTGAGCACTAGAATTAGAAATGCTGCACTTATCACCAGCGGAGAGAGTCACAGCATCTGGAGCCTGAGAACATGCTGCAGCTCACAGCACGTGCAACCTGACAACAAGCGCAAGTTTTCCGCCAAAGACATCTAAACTAAAAACTTGTAAAGAGTTGAGACCGAGTAGCGCTTGAATCTTGCTCTACGTGCGGAAATACTGCCAAATGCCCCAAATTCCAGCCTGCGCAGCCTGACAACAGCCGGAGAACACAACGGGATTTCACAGCACAACTGATTGTACAGGTCACACGGCATGTGAGGCCTGAGCACAACCAGTATCTCAGGCATGCGGGCCTGATCACGGCACTGCAATTCTACAACTTGACCACATCCAGACTGGCTCAAGTTCCAGCCTGCGAGCAACGAGTTACAGCGTGAGAACGGCTGCGCATGCCGAAGCAGAAAACGCTGGAACCAGACATGGTGCAATAAACTTACAGTATTTGGAGCCCGAGAACCACAGCAGTTGCGGCCAAAGAACAACCAGAAATGCTGCGCTTGTGATGCATTTTGAGCCAATCTTGCTACAAAAGAACAACATTCTCCAGTGTGAGGGAAAGAAACACTGTTGTCGGCCTGCACCTACTGGAGCCTAGAGCCCCAAGCAGCCCTATGTCGTTCCCGAAGGTTTTCTTCGCCATTCCAATCATCATGCCGAAGGAAGTGTGGTCATTCCGCGACAAGGCGACGGTGTCTGCACTCAGAGCTGCGTACTAGTAGGCACAGGCCAGCGCCAGCAGAGCCGAGGTGATGGAGCTTGGCATCTACTCCAGTGGAGTCTGCATGCCACTGCTCTGCACCCGTTGTTCCATGTTCATGTAGCCCGGTGATATACATCCTGAAATACTTCAATCCAAGCATCGTTGACTTGCCTAGCAAGTCCCAGAGTATACCTTAGTTACCATGCTGGAGGATGAACGTATCTACAGTCGACGCCATCGACACCACTTGTTCCCTGTAGCAGCACTCGTCTAGCACTGGCGAGGTTCATTGTTTTCAATCTTGGCGTCTCCTTCGGTCAGGCACGGGAATAATTTATATATCGTCAGGCGAAGCATCAGCCGGACCGGAAGCAAGCCACAAACGTATTGGCCCCGTGATGTTCTTATTGACGTGCATCTGCTTGGGTCATAAGCTTGGCAGTCGCGACAGCAGTACGCCCAGGAGGCTTCTTCAGATATGTGCAGCCAACATGCTTTTGAGCACGAGTTGCTGCACATGCTTTTGAGCATGATGGCGGGATGCAGCAGTTGCACTCACCAGCTGCCAGAGGCCTTCAACAGCTGCAAGTCTGGCCTGCAGGGCACTCTCGTGTCCTCCATGATGGGGTGGATCATGACTCTTGGCATTACGGAAATGCCTTGTTGATTCGAATCCGACTTTGTGGTGTTTGTTGACGTGCAGCCTGTGGATCGGACCGCGAGAGTCACCAGGTATACGCTATATCCTGGAGGCTACGAGGCCACCTCTCCAGAATATGTCTTTTATGGCGGAGTGGTGGCTGGCATCATCTACGTCAGCCTGGTGATGTCTTTGCGGCCTCTTGTTTGATTTGCCTGATTGAGGTATCGAGATGACATGTGTTGAGTTGCTTATTGTGTGTGTGTGTGCACCTCTGTTGCATATGACACCTAACTGAGGTGTGGCATCTCTCTGCAAATGTTCGCACTGTCCAACTTCGCATCCACTTGGATGGATTTCTTGAGCCTTAACTCAGCCATCGGCTTCTCAATCGTCATTATGAATGCATGTGATAGAACTTTCCCAAGGAATGAAAAACATGAAGCTACTATCATGCCCCCTTGGCATGCGGGGTGGAGCATCCAGCAGGACTTTGGTGGGTGTGGTGTACAAGTCACAGCTGTTCAGCTATGCTTGTGCCAGGACACATTGACACAAAATTTTGTTTGAAACTTGGACGCATCAGAATGAGAGAGGGGTGATTTCACAGACTTGCCCCATGAGGTTGTCATTGAAAGTGCATTTTACACGACACGACGTTTTTGGACTTGCGGATTGGACACCCTTACTAGACATTGCAGCGACACTGGTAGACATGCAAGATGAATTGCATAAAACGCGGCTGGCTTTGGGGATCCATCGTGGACAGAGGGGTGGCTGTTGCTCCACATTGACATGGACTCAGCGTGAGGAATGCTCATACTCGTCTTGCTCTGCTCTAGTAAACATCACGGAAGGTTTCCGAGGTGCATCAGTTAAGCGGCTCTCCATTTATGACCGGAAGTCCTCGCTTCGAGAATGTAGTGCCGCCCCCTCACATCATTGTGGGAGTGGAGCGGCTTCTCCAACTCTTGCTGCCTGGCATCGCAAAGCATCCTTCCCGCTCTCCCAAAGCATCTGCAGCACCGCTCGTGTTTGCCTTGTTCAGGTGATTCTTGTGTCTTGCTGCCTGCGTGTCTGAGGTACAGGTCTGGGTATGGTCGCTGTGATGGTTGCCAGCCTTTTTCCGTATCCCCGCTGCTGGGAGCGTTTGGAGGTAGGAGGTTTTTGAGTTGGCGCAGCCAAGCTGATTTCGAGGAAGCGTCACTTCGTGACTTTTCCAGCATTTGGAGCGCACATGAGTTGACTCCTGCAAAGGTTGGTCGCTAATGTTCGTGACCGAGAGCCAGCTCAATGCGAACCTTCAAGTGGTCCAGGTGGTTGTCATCCAAGGAACATGCAAGTTCAGGATAGCCTGTGGTCTCCTGGTTCTGCCAGATCTGCGTAAGCAAGCCGTAGTGGTAGCTTCAGGCGTATTACACGCCACAGGTGCTGGATACGATTGTCAAGTACTACTCGAGCGACAAGCCGAACGTTTACATCAAGGACCAGGTCATCCGCAGGCGTGGGCGGCGTGAGCGGCGTTTGAGCGGGAGGTTCCGATATTGAGATTTGTGACGCCAAGCCATGATGCGGAAATGATAGACGCAGGTGCTCTGATGTTGGTTGCTTTGACTGGCGATACTTATGAAAGGCCTAGTGCTATACGCCTGGACCGGCTTGGCTTAGTCTTCGTGCCTGTCGTAAGTCTGAGTGTGAACCAGGTTTTCAGGTAGCTTTTCGCATAATGAGTTGCTTCCGCTTCCTGTGCTATCGCACGTCTCCACTCAGGCTGACGAGAATGCGAAGCTCAGCAGGAAATATTCTCACGGACCTGTTCTGAATTCTAGGACGCTTCGGGTTTGGCGCATGAAACAGTGGCTTCGCATGTGAGCTGACCAGAGGTGTGATGCGTTCGCAAGCAGGGTGATTCACGCGATTGCAGACTATGTGCAGACTAAGGAGGAATGCTGACGGAGAACGACTCCTTGCTGGCCGCGGCCTGGTGGGAGTGTTCCCGAGCACCAAACACTTATACGGTTTTTAATGTGCTTTTGCTTGAGAGACGAGGATGTCGAAGTCTGGTGCCGCATGACGTTCGAGTTGTGTTGGGAGTTGGCAGCTGCGAAAATTTCAGGCTATGGTTTGGGCCGATCTCAAGTCAAACGCCGGGTTCTGGCGTCCATGGACAAGACTACAGGGACAATCAGTGATATGACGCTTGGCACAAGTCGAGCTGAATGCCAACGCAGAATGCTTATCTAAATGGTTGCGCAGCCATTTGCACCTCTCTGGGGCTTCTCTTCCCATCAAACCTTCTTCCAAGGGTCATCAGGGTTCATGTCACTTAAACTCGAAGAGATTTCTACGCCTTTCGGGGGGGCGCTTATCACTGAGCGTCTCGGCCAGTGCTAGCAAGCATAATCTCGCTGTTTACGCCAGATCACTGAGCCCCACTTCATTTTCTGATGGCCTCCGGTTCGTTGCGCCCATCACTTGTTGTGAATTCGTAGGTGCCCTGCCCCAAGGATTTGGAACGCGTGGCAGGAGTCTATCTCTGAGGACGTCGGAGAGATGGATGCGAAGCTTATGCGTGCAGTGCAACTGGGACATGCATGTCGGCGATTCCCCAGCCGTCATTTTTCGGTCACAGCGAAGCCTACTTAACGGACAAGACCACTGTAGGGCCGCCATCTCCAAGCTGCCAGATGAAAGTTCCCTGCAAACTAAGGAGGCCAAGCAT